GTTTTCCTCTATTTCTCATTCACCCCATCATGTGCCTGCATGTCGTCATAAATATCCACCCAGAAACTAATAAATAACACTTATACTCAGACCTACATGAAGGCAAACGTAAGGTTCAGCAGGGTTTTCAAGCGATTCTAATTCCTACAATTGAGACCAAGTCAAACGCAACACCGCATTGAACACTTTGCTTCACCCACAAAACATGACCCCAGAAGCAGAGTTCAGCGGTGGCAACATGACTGGAATACAAAATTAGCCTGGGTTGTTTTGTTTTGATCTGACTCAAGCCCAGAATGGAGGGACAAACAGAGCCCTTTGTTACTGGACAAAAACAAATATTCAAGTCACTGGACATGTGTGTCTGTCTTTTCTGTATTCAGGACAATTGCAAACAGAAGTGCCTCAAGACGGACTTTTTTTTTGTTATTAAACCAAAAGGATAGGTATCCAAAATGCTAACTGTTCACATTTTGCACTTGTCTATGACCCTGTTCATACCAGACTTATATTTAGCAGTTTCAACCGGTTTTTCAAAAACCGGTTTTTATTTAACCTGGTGTGAACGCAAATTAACCGGTTTTTTAGGGGTTTAAATCCGATTTTGAAAAACCACCTCGGGAGGTGGTTTTTGAGGGGTTTTTCCACCGAAAAACCTGGTCTGAACGCTAAGGGTTTATTGAACCGGTTTTTGCGTCATAATTCCGGGGTCACGGGTCAGCATCCTGGCCGTGTGCGACCTGCAAGCTTTTTGATCGCGTTGTTTTGACCAACTTTGAGTTCGTTTCCACTGTTTTTCCACGGTTTTTCTTCATTTTGCGATGGAATCAGCAAACGCAACCTGGTCGGCGAATGGGACGCTCCTGATACTAAGGTTTGGAGAGCAGGAGTCGCCAAATTCGAAAAAGCTAAGGGGGGGAGGGCTCTACCGAAACAAAAATGTTGGAGGAGGCTGATTTCTTGAAGATAAAGGATCAGTGATGCACTAAGGTAATAAAACAAACTGAAGACGGCATACAAGCAAGAGCC